CCGCACCAACGGCGGCCTTGGCCTTATAGCTGCGAGATAGCTGGCGCAGCTGGGGAGGAGTGGGGAAGAGCAGCGCCTGGACACCTCCATGGGGAACTAGAGGGAGGTAGTCCAGACGAGCCGAAGATGTCATCAGCGCCCCACGTAGCATGAAAAACCTTCACGACGATAAACCTGATGCATGGGAAGCCCATGGGAGCTGCTGGACGATCTGGACTGTCTTCGTCAACCTCGAGATGCGTCCAATGGTCGCGACCTCTCATGAGACGGCGGGCCGCGGAAGATCCTTTCGAATATTCAGCCATAACCCAACCGCACCAAGACTGATACGGAAGCTTGGAAGTATGCCAGTCGTGCTCGAGTGTAATATGCTCGAGCTGTCCTTGCCAGAGTGCCATGGAATGGCGACGGGGAGATGGAAGGTCTGCCGCTTCCACCAAGGCAATTCGCCCACGAATGGCCCATGACGCGCATCAAGGTTATATCGACGTGTACGGCACGCTCAAAATAAGCGTCCCAATCGAGACCACGCTGGCGAAGCGTCAGCAAAAACCGAATACGCGTCTCAAGATACCACCATAGTAGCTTATGACAAGACGTGGAGGGAACCCAGGACGTGTCGACGACGCTGGCAAGCAAGGCAGAACAGGGCAAGTCCCCGTGGGATCCAGGCCCTGTTCATTCTGATGCAGCAGGCTTCCTGATAACGCGAGCCACTCGGTGATGGAACCCCGCAAACACGTGAAGCACGACCGGGGAAGGCTTAGAGATAGCACTGGTGTCCACAACATGGCAACTACAATGGACCACAAAAATACGATGAACAGCAAAACAATCAATGAACGCTGGTGTGTCGGCGCTAAGCTACGTGACAGACGGAAGGGCGATAACAGCTGCTTTCACCAGATCAGGCCATACAGTGCCAAGGAAATCCTATGGAGACGTCTGACAATCGCCGCCTGTGATGAACGGGGCGCCAAAAGCAATCAAGAGGCCCACAATCCGAAAGAGGGGGGGCTCGTTGCTGTCCTACGGCTCGGCCGATGAACCGTCGTGCAGATACAAACTGAATACGGGAAGCCCTTGAAGCACCAGACCGTGCCAAAAAAAACTCACAAGTGCGTCAGCCAGCGGCCAGTGGGCATCATCGACGCCACACTGTAGAAGCCGTGAACCATATGCCCATGGAGACGATGTAGCCACCCCCGCGGACAGACCCCCCGCCTCAATGTGGACGGAAGGGCGCATGGACGCATGGTGCCTTCAAGTGCAGAGGATACGCATTATAACGGAGCACGTTGCACAGGGTCTGGCCATGAGTCCAACGAGTCACGCATGGTGTACGTATCAACCAACATCGTCTGAATTTTCCTTGCGACAGCATGCGCGATTTCGACGAGGAAGACCGAACAAGGCTTCGTTCTCAAGAGCACCGGTCTTGGACTGCCTGTCGTGGAGGGGTTCCAGCAGCTTCTGCTTTCGAACTTCGATATTCTATCTGGGTTGCAGAGCTCTTCGACTTGCTTACTGAAATCATCCAGAAGAGAATTAGCACGACTAACTCTGGCCGTAGTCCATTTGACGTGGTTCTGGATATGCCTGTAGTGCTGCTGGGGGGACAACAGCTGGACCTTCTGCTGCCTCTTCTTCCGGATACTCTCCTCCTGAACCTGGGCAAGCTCCCGAAGTGAAAATCTTGAAAGTCTGGGCATACCGGGCCCTGGCCTGGAGGAGGGTCTCGAGGTGCTGGAGATCATCGTGTCAGGGGTCCCTGCTGCTGGAACTCGATACTCATCATCAACACACTCATCCACCTGTGTGGGCTCACGATTGGCGGATGGCCCAGCCCATTCTTCGGGGTAGTCTTGGGCAGAATATGGTTTATTGTTTTTTACAGCAAAGTGGCAATCTTTTAGCGTTGCAAGTTGTTCTCTTGACGAAGCTGCGGAGCAAATCGAAGATGCGTTTGGTGCTGCTGCAGATACGTTGCCTCGCAGGGCTCAGCCGGCCCGGCGACCTTGGATATCGTAGGCTACTTTGAACCTCATCGAACAAAGGAACAATTTCAGGCGAATGGGCGACGCTCGCAACGAGAGCTCTCTCAACAAGGCGATCCGGAAGGCAGCGCGGGCTGACCGCACAACTTGGATGAACGATTCTCTGGTGGGGGGGAACTGGGGCGCAGTCAAACAGCTACGGAAGAAGCCTCAGACAAAGCACGCTGGAGTCAGGAAATGAACAACAACTTGACCGATACCGCGAGCCGTCCGGATGCTTTGGCCGACTACTTCGAGAAAGTGCAGTGGCAAGTTACTTTCCCAGAGGTGGTTCCTACAGCTACCCGCACTCTTGGTACAGAGTTGTCCATAGACGTGCGTCAATTTACATTGAACGAACTGATTTTCGTGTTGAGAAAGATGAAGAACGGAAAAGCAGCTGGCCCTGATGACAAACCACCAGATTTTTGGAAGGTTGTATCTACAGATGTACACGCTTCCCAAGCACTATTGCACGTTTGTCAAAGGTGTTGGTCCCAGAAAGACATACCGGAAAAATGGCGCATGGCGAATGTCATCTTGCTTTTCAAGAAAAGAGACGCAACTTTACCAAGCAACTATCGTCCAATCTCGTTGCTCTCGCTGGGATACAAAGCCCTCGCGGCGATGTTGCGTCAGCGACTGCTTCAAGGAGGCGCAGAAGATCGATTACGACACTCACAGTTTGGATTCTGGCCTCGCCGGGGCACCGCCGACGCGCTCATGCTCGTGAGGCGCATGATCGACGCAACGCTGATGAATAATAACGGTGGTATTATTTTGCTTCTCCTTGATTGGGCCAAGGCGTTCGACCGATTGAAGCCAGAGTGTTTGTGCGCAGCTTTGACAAGATTTGGGCTACCGCAACCTTTCGTGCAAATAGTCGGAGGAATTTATTCGCGCAGGTATTTCACTATACTAGACCGTTGTGGTAAATCTTCGCAACGACGCCAAGCTGCCGGTATTGCACAGGGATGCCCGTTGTCACCGTATTTATTTATCATTGTGCAGACGGTGATGCTTCAGGACGCTCTGTCGGACCTGCGCCTTCAACAAGATCCAGGCTATGTGGTCTCTAGGGATATTCTGTACGCCGACGACACTGCGTTGGTATCTCAACATGAAGGAAACCTACAGATCATGCTGGACGCAATGGTGGCAGAGGGGCGGAAGTACGGATTGGAATTGAATTGGGACAAGACGGTGCAACTTCAAATCGGTTCTGTTGGCTTTGTGAGAACGCCGGATGGGGATCCGATCAAGATTGTCAAGGAAGCTATTTATTTGGGGGGGCTCGTAACCCATGACGGACGCGTTGGCAATGAACTTTCGAGACGACTTGGAGAAGGCAGAGGTGTTTTTCAACAACTTACTAAATTGTGGACACACTCCGCGGTTGGTTGGCGACGCAAGATACTCATATACAACAGCTGCGTGCTCAGCAAACTGTTGTACTCGTTGGATTCGCTGTGGCTTCTCAAGCACGACAGAGACAGGCTCGACGCATTCCACTGCAAATGTTTGCGCCGCATTTTAAGGATCCCACATTCTTACATCTCGCGCGTCAGTAACGTAAACGTACTGGAGATAGCTGGATCACAACCGTTGTCCTCAATCTTACGTGAGCGGCAAGTGCAACTCTACCGGAGAATTGCTTCTGAGACCGGCGGGTCGCTCATGAGGCACATTGTGTGCAATCACAACGGCACGCCCAAAAATTGGGCTGACCGCAGACGCCGGGGGCGCCCCAGACAGCAATGGGCAGCCTCTGTGTATCGAAGCATAGCTGTCTTATGACGTCACGCATGAATGCCGAACTTTTTAATACGCCTACGCGTCTGTAAGGGATGCAAGGCCGCAGTCAGTCAGTCAGTCGGTGGATGCCGATAATGCTGACGAAACTTCCTTTCGTCACCACCTCTACCTCCGTTGAGCTCTGTTCGGCCCGCCTTCACCCCAATCCTTTGTGGTAGGTGGGGCGATATCCACGGGGACGGAATCTTGTGCAGTGGGGGTTTCGACCACAAGAGACCTTCCACAAGAAACCCAACCTTGAGACCCCAGGACGTCAATCGATTTTTGGTGTGGGAATGTTACGCCGTCCATTACAAAACGACCGAACCCCAAGACACCCAGGGCACCCTGGAGGCAAGCAGGGTGTTTATTCGCATAGGC